TCCGTCAGCTTACACTTTATCAATAATATACATTTTTGCGTGGTCCTTAAACACTTGAAGTGTAACCTTAAATGACTAAATGATCTCACTATATTTTTACCATTTGTCTGACTCATTTCCAGTTCAGATGATATTTAAAAAATTGCAATGTCAAATCTGAATTTTCATACAGTTTGCTGGTGCACCATTTCAAATATCATGTAACGCACTTATCTCTGTTTCATATTTGATTAGTAAAATTGTACTTTCATGTGTAAAGTTGCAACAAAACATTCATTTTTACCTATTCATCATTACATCTAATGAATAATAAATTTATATTCCGGAATTATCACTGTCAGATGATAAATTTGTTTATTTACAAAAACGAACAGTTCACATGTATGAATGAAAAATCACAACAAAATATCACATAACAGTTTGAAAACAGAACTGTCTTTATTTGTTTTAATACATCTATTTATTGAATAAAATACTTTAACTGCATTATTTATACAACATTGTTTTCTATCATTGGTCAATTTTGAATATATAAATTCAAACAACAGTTAAAAACTGATTTCATTCTTTCTATAATTGTATATCTGGATGATGTTACTAGAGTTTTCGGACGGTTTATTCTATATCATTTCACAAATCATACTAATGATATTTCAGGTAAATTGAAATTTTATTATTACTGTTATTGCCATACGTTCATTAATGTCAAACACTAAACATTCTTTTGGTGAATACGATCGCTTGTATTTTTGTGTATCATAAACAAGAGAATACCCCTTGTATTATGGTGATAATTAGAAGTCACATTTGTTTCTGTGAATGATTTCTTGTCGATTTATTCGTTCTAAGGGCAAAAGGAAACGAAGAGATAATAATAATAATAATAATCGAGATGTAGCATGATAAGTCCTTCACAGCCAGAACATACAAGCTGGACAGTAGCAATTCCATTTTTGATACCTAGGACAGGCCCTCTAAGCTAAAAAAAATCCGAACACACTTCACAGATTATATTAACGACTCTCTCTTGCCAACGGAAGTTTACAGAACAAACTTATTTCATTCCCAATGTGATTTGGTTTAATGAAACAATGTTTATTGCCAGCAAATCTAAATCCTGCCCTTTTGCTGCTCATAACCTACAAACGCATAATTTTCAAACCCTACTCCATCATTCTGTAACTGTCAGTGAAAATAGTTTTCGATAAATTCTTTTTTTATAACTAATAACATTTTTAGTTTCAAGGTTTATTTTTTCCAGATTGTTTCACTTTAAACGAAAATAATAATCAGCAAACTACTAAGAAACTAATAGAAAAAGTATTATGTTTTAAAGAAAATTAGTGAAAAGTAAATATCTCCTGTTAAATGTTCAATTCAGCATGATAAGTTGTTTAAAATAATTAAAATGTTCAAATATCAATGTAACTTGTGTTCGTCTTTACCTCGGTTTTTTTCTCTATTTGTTGATGAATATATTAAATAAATGCATCACACTACATCTGATGAAATTTTGTAATTTCTAAACCTTTTATTTTCGTCACCACATTTGTGATATGCATATTTCAACTTTCAATTTACAGTCATTTGATGATTCAACGTGAGTTTCATTACACTATCATTCATTGTTATCAATAACATTTGATATTGTCGAAAGCGTTATAATTTGTTGAATTGATTCTTGGGATTATAAGTGAATGTGTATTTGTATGCAAATTGATAAAAAAGTTGTTATTAAGTAATTTATATTTGGTAATAAACACTTGAATGATAAAACGAGGAAAGATTAAGGACATTTATCGTGATCGTCACTTTACATATATCATTGTAAATGAATAACGTAGGGAAGATATCTTTAGGCAGATGTGAGTAATGGTGAACGTTCTTTTGGCCAAAGTTCATATGTACACGAATCTACACTATAAATTATCTATGCATAGAATAGAATTTATTATGACGTAAACAATCAGAAGTATTTCTGAGAAAAATTGGACCAATTTACAGTGATGAAAGTTCTATTAAGGTTTCAGATTGAAGCATGTCTACTCAGTTAATTGAATAAACCAGCCTCAGCCCGAATTCTACATTTCGTCCACTCAAACTCAAAATTTTATTCAGATTTTCATTAACTGCAGCTTTAGCAGATTTCAAGTCATCAGTGTATTTTTCTTTCGAAATTTAAATTTTATTTGTCCAGTAAAACAAATGAAATGTTCATCAAAATCATAAATCATTCACTGTCGAACTATCAGTAGAAATGTGAAGAAACTAGAGAACCTTTTCCTCCAAATATAGAACATATTACCGACCCACAGGTCGGCAGAGCACAAGAGGCACTTAACAATACAAGGTAAAACATCATATGACTATCTCCAAAAAGAACTTCTTCCATGCAACCTCATCTAGAAACATCAACGGTACTCGTCCACAGAGGCAAAAACAAGTACAGTAATAAATAAAAGGATCATCCTTACATAAATCGAAGACATATCAGAAGTTGCAACATGACACTCGAAATCATTTATAATTAGTGTTCCACACAAACAAACAGACTCACTTCAGTCAATCCTATGTGGACCAGAGGAAAAAATGATTAAACAATGAAAAGCCAAATGTCATCTGAAAAAATACAAAGGACAAAGTGGACTTCCTGTTCAGCATCAAACCACATGACAGTTCTACACTAATATCAATACATACGGAAAATTATTGACATACATTCAATTAGGACAGTTTGGGAATACTTAATAGAGGTGATACAAAGA